CTTGCACGGTCGGCCATCTTTTTGGTAGAGTTTGTATTATGTCTAGCCACATTATAGTAGTATAGTACCGTAATCTGCCGCCCGTTAGATAGGGTATGCACATTTTCCGCCCACAGTTGAAGAGTCGCGGCGCGACTTCGTGGAAACCTTGGGAAAAAATAAAATATTTTTCATCGAGCGTATCGCTGCGCGACAGGATAGCCACAAAATTCTGAATACTTACTGATGGTAAGTTCTTGTCTTTTCGCGATCGGAGCGATTTGAACAGCGCTCCGCACAACATGACGGCCTATTCGACCTTCCTCTGTCGTATCCACTGTGTTTCAACAATCTACTTCCTCGAGCAACTTCAGTCAAGCACGATAAATTACCCACGGTACAGTGTATGCTAAATCCAAGGCTACTTTTATGGCGGCCTGCCGCCAAAGCGCTGTCCACCATATTACTATGATGGCTAGAGATAATATAACTCTACCAAAAAGATGGCCGACCGTGGCCACGTTTTTGTGCATACGCGGAGTTGGGCAAACGCGATTCGGCAAATAGTCATAGAGATCAGTGTGGTAACCGAGCGGTAAAGTTTTTTTTTTTTTTTTTTTTTTTTTTTTTTTTTTTTTTGCTTGTCATATCTGAGTAAAATGCAAAAAAGCACCGATGTCGTGTTCGCGCTAAGAGTGTCGCGCGGTGTACCTTCCAAACACAAAAAGAAATGTGGAGCCCCCAAGAAGAAAAAAAAAAGGGGGGGGGGGGAGGGGAACGTGAAGAAAATAAGAAGCTTGCGCAATGTTCATACGCGGTGCGAAGTAGTTCTTACAAGGTTTGGTTGTTAGAGGAAGAAGCGATGCTTTTGGCGTTTGAAACATCTCCGTCTTGATTAGATAACAAATATCTAATCTAAGATCTACCTACATATATCCTAGTTCTTTATAAAGGGGGAAGTTAGTAATGCTCCGCAATAAACCGGACTCTTTTTTTTTTTTTTTACTACTGTTTTTTAGGTGAATAGAGTCACTAGAAAGGCTCTACGTTTAGGGTATCGTCACTCTTTCCTCCCATCGTATGATGTCGCCAAGATGGGCTTTCGTCCGTTCGCATCACGTGGCATTTGTTTGTCTACCAGCAGTCCTTGGGCGCCGCCATCTTGGTGCTTAGAGCCGCTCGGGTGCCGTTTGCGACAGGAGTTCTGAAGTGCGACCTTTTGGGCAGTAAATGCGGTATTATAGATATCTTCGCGGTATCGCTTTGCTCCGGCGTCACCTGTTTGAGGAAACGGGATGATGGAAAGCACTGCTTGCGTCTTCCGCCAGGCACGCCCGCAAAAGCTGGTGACAAGTGCCAGTGTTGCTCCCGAGCAACCCGTGTGGATAGAGATATACATAGCGAGAGCGAGACCCTTGGTCTAGGTCTGCACTGGGTTTCGCCCTCCTTCTTAAAGAGGTAACGGATTTGGGTGTGTGCGCTGGCGAGGGTAGAAGGACGAGTCACAAAGTGGAGGCTAAAACATTGGTGGAAAAAAAGTCTAGAGAAGTATGATCACGTACAAAATTGGGACTCGTAGGCGATTTAACGAAAAGGCGGAATTTAGATCAAAACATAAAGGGAAGGGGCGCAAATGTATCTAGGCTAGATGGCGCAGTCTACCGCCCGATACAGAAGATGCCGATATTATTTATCCATCCGTGGCTGTAGTGTCGTTAATCCGTAGAGTGCATGCGTCAAACCCAGCGACGTGTCAGTCACGCAACAAACGCAGTCGCAGGCAGTCTGTTGTTTTTGCTTTTGCGGTTTATTATGACGCAAGGTTAGCGTACGTACGCAGAGAATCTGTTATCTATTACTAGGAATAAAGTTTGCACGCAGATCTAACATTTATTTCTTTGGAAAAATGGCTTGCCGCGGTGTCTGTTTCCAGGAACGTCTGTTTTCTAATCTGTTCTACCTTGCATTTCCCGCGTACCTCTGCAGTACCGGTGAAAAAACATTTTTTTTTTTTTTTTAATTACGCGTTAGGGTGAAGCATCAACTTGATACTTACCCGGCCGTAAAACGTATTCCTCGCACGGAAGCAGGTAAACCGATAAGCTGAACTACAAAGTAGGTAAGGAAAAGGAGTAAGCAGAAACATTCTTGGGCCTATCTCGCACTCAGTAGTACCTTCGTTGGAAGGTTAAAAAAACATTCTCATGAAAACGAGCATTCTTTCGCTCGAGATTAGCCGACGAAGCGTCGACTAAAGCCGGAGCGTTCTAGCTCCCAGAACTGCTGGCCCGCCAGACTTTGGAAGTAGCAATTATGGTCACTAACAACTCCAACATCTTTCTTTTTTTGTTTAGCTATTTAATTTAGGCATATTTTCGGAACGCCCAGGCTTACTCTTTCCGGCATGCTATGTACTTATTCGCTCTGAATTCTAACTGGCTGTCGAAAAAACGGCAAATGAACGTTAGGCTTAACAACGTTCAAATATTCCCGCGCTCTCATGTCACATGTTGTATAACTTGCAAGTCGAGCAGGCAGTATAAAAAAAAGAAAAACGATAAAAAAAAGGGAGCTTCCCAAGCAATTACTTTAAATACTTTAAACATACATAAAGTGACTTTAAAGTCTTTAAAGACACTTTAAAAACTTTAAAGTGTCTTTAACGAATTTTGTTTTTCTTTATGTTTGCAATTTTACCGGAATTTAGCGGGCATTCGGGCGTTTAATCATCGATTCCATCCTCCGATTTCAGTGGATGGGGAAGTGTCCCAGGAATAGTCCAAAATAAACAACTACTGGAACAAATATGCGATAGTGGCGACACTATAGACGTTAGTTCCATGTGTATACCTTCATTCGCTCGCTTTATTTTCATTTATATTAGTTCACCCTTATTGTTTCGTGATGTGGCAATCGGTGTTCTTTAGGCCCACTTCAAACGGGGCAATTTCTCTTATTTAGGGTCTAGGGAAAGCTTTCTCTAGCTCCTAAATGCAGAATTTTCTGCGTTTAGGATCTAGGGAAAGCTAGGAAACAATCCGCCAGCAACAATGAAATTGCTGGGAAAGTTGCTTTGTCTGAAGCGGGCCTTACGTCGCAATGGGATTGGCTGTGACGCGATAATGACATGCTGGGAAATCGCCGCGACCCCTCATTTCTTAAACGGCCAGTGACTGTGTATAGACCTTTCCATTGCTTATCACCCGGAAAAAACTGCTGAGTCACTGCGCTGTGGACGCATGCGCAGTGTCTGATATGCCGCACAACAAAGCTACAGCGCATGCTCAGAAGGTGTTCCACAGCCCAGCAGACAAAGATGGCAGCGCGCAGAAGGCGATTTTTGCAAAGGTCTATATAGTACCGTAATTCGACGTTTCACTGCTAAGAATTATATTTAATGTCGCCAGTAGATGTGCTGACATAGTTCCGTACACCGCCATATCGTCTGTTTTGTTTTAAATTATTTTTATCGTTCGGCGCGTTATTTTTTATTTTTATTTTTTTTCTAGAAGGTTCGAAAGAAAATTGATTGTTCTAAATCGTCCTGAAAAAGATAGAAAGAAAGCGACGGTTGATCATTTTCGTGCGGTCATTTGAACGGGGAAAAAAACGTGATCAATTACATTTTTATGTCAATCGCGAAGTATATTGCACTAGTCGATTACACCACGCCGAAATTAATTGAACGATTATCTAGAAAACAAGCCGCGTCAAACTTTTTTTTTACTTTTTTTTTTTTGCCGTATTGTAGTTTTTTTATTGTTGCAACGTTGTCCTCGTATTGTTTACGTGTATTTTAGCCGACGCTGCTGCCGCATTGGACAATCTGAAGCGCTGGAATCTGGAATGGGATAGACAGATAAAAAACACGGTATTTCGGGAAATTATATATACTTCAGGTATATTTTCATTTTATTAATAGTATATTAAAAATGCGCCTGGCCCGGGGGGTTGCATGTATAGCCGACGGAGCTAACCAGCGCGCGCAGTGCAATACTAAAGCGAAGAGTATCTCCATTAAAGAAGTGTACATTTTTATTGTGCGATTGAGTACTTTTAATGTACTACTTTTTTTCTTTTCTTTTGCCATTGGCATTTTAAAGTTCTATTTGTCTCGCTCGGTTTCCAGGTGGAGTTCTGTGTGACGATAAGAGATAAGAGTATTGGCTCTTCCGCCATGTGTTTTCAAACGCTCCGACGAGGCGCGGCTGCGATTCTCGATATTTGATGGCACAAAGAACTCTATCTCACAATTAAAAGGCCGGCTGCTTCGATTCAAGTGTGAGAATGGGGGGTTGCCTGTGCGATTTCTCCGTTCCCGTGGAAAAGATGAGAAATATAGATACGCAGTCTCAGCGAAACTACGGCGGACGTAATGTTATGAACGTACGGGCTGTTGTAGAGTGCAATATGCCAGTGTTGGTCGAAATATTCAATTACGGTACTAAATCCAATAAAAGGTCTTAAAGTAAAATGGATAAACAATGAAATGCACATCGGAAGTAGAGAGAGAAAAAGGAGCTCGCGTCCTAGCGGTATGTATCAGATTAGGAGGCGCCATGGCTGTCTGTATGCCGCGTCTATACATCGGACCTTGTTGCTAATCTTCGATTCACCTTCCGATGCACTTCCGGTCTGCGTATATTTGCCACGCATAATTCTTTCATTACAGCGGGTTCGAAATAGTTCTGACGGTGCTATATAAGTGCACGATAGTTCTCATAGATGGCGCGTATAGAGTTGGTCACCCCCGCAGCACTTGGTCTATGTTATACGCAGACAGGAAGTGTTCCAGAGCTCTCCGATAGATGGCGCTGATGTTTTCTCTCGTCGCTAGGTGGCGTAAGCTACCGCCCGATCCAAAGGGCTCAGCCGTATTCATCCATCCATCCATCCATCCGTCGCAGTCGATCAGACTCGGGCGGAAATCCGTGAACTAGGCTTAGAAAGTGAGCCAATGAATCAGCGTCGCGCTGGTTTTGACGGACAGCCTGCCAATTTCTGTTCCCATGTCTGTTCAGATGCCCTCTCTGCTCTGGGACCCGGGGAACCGTTCGGACATCGGCTGGAGACGCAGACGCGTCCACTCGAAAGCCGAGGCAAGCTGCTGCCCGTGAGTCTCCTTTACGTCGTCTGAACCCTCGAGCGTGCAGACCTTACATTTTGTTTACTCCATTGCAGGAGTTATAGAAGGGTATATACTCCGTCGATTTCGACGCGTTTCGAACTTGTGCGCACTTGCACTTATACATTTTTACTCTCATTTGGGTGCTAAAAGGGAACTCCGTCGATTTCAACGCATTCCGAGCTTGCACTTAAATATTCACTTTCTGTTGCGTGTGGTACTGCGCATTTCTCTAACGTGAACATTCACGTTTTTTACTCTCTTTAGAGTATTAAAGGAGTGCTCCAACGATTTTGATGCATTTCGAGCGTGCACGCCTTACATATTTTACTTCCTCTCGGGTGTTACAAGGTCGTTCGGCCGATTTCGACGCGATTCGAGCTTGCACACTTATGTTTTTATCCCTTTTTGGGTGTTAAAAGCTTGTTCCGACGATTTCGATGCATTTCGGGCGTTCATACATGCATTTTGTTTACTCCCTTTTTGGTGGTAAAAGGGTGCTCCGACGGCTCGCACCAATCGCCCACCCCTTTCGGCAGCCCCGTCCCGTTTCATGCGACGCTTTTTTATCGTTCTCGAGTACGGTAAAGGTGTAAAAAGGGAGCGATAAAGGTGCAGTGCCTTCTTGGCGGAGGTTGTTTTATAGACTTTGTAGAAATGATTGTCGCCTCTACCAACGCTACTTCACGAGAGATATAGGGTCCACGAACCTCGATAAATTGTTTGATGAGCTAATGTTAGCAACCTTACTAGTTGTTGGCGTTGTGCCCGGCGAGATGACTCCATTTCAAACGTCGGCTACTCACCTTTTGACCGCTTATCACCCAGGCGAAAAATTCCGAGTCGCTGGCAGCGTTGACAATAACCCGTTACAAGTAAGGATGTTACCGGTAACGCGATATTTTTTTGTTCGGTGACGTAGTAATTTACGTGTTACTTTTTTTCAAAACAGTAAGACATAACGTCCTTACGTTACTTATTTGGAGTAACGGGTAACATAATTACAATTTTGTTATTAAAAAAAAAAATAGTTTTTTTTTTTGTTAAGTCGTGAATTTTTTTACTCATCCCACACACCCCGTTCAAGCTTTGCCTTCCATTTTCCCCGCGCAAAACGCTCCCACTTTGGGGGAAAAAAAATCCCACGCCGTTTCTCTTAGTTTTGAGAAACGCTGCCGCCGTCAAAAGCATGTAACGCAAATTGCAGTAACGCTAGAGTAACGTGCACTACTTCTAATCCGTAACGGTAACGTGTTCCTTTTATTTTGAGGTAACGTAGGTCGGTAACGCGTTTCTTGTGTTTGCAAGTAACTAATAAGGTACTTCGTTACTTCTTTATTGTTTCATTTTTTTTGTTACGCTTACAGCATTAAAGTCGCTGGGTTCTAGACGCATTCGTCTGATATTGAGCAGAAGAGAGCTACTGCGCAAGCTCAGAATACGTTCCACAGCCCAGTACGCAAAGATGGCGGCGCGCAGACGGCAATTTTTTTTGCAGCAGTTTTTGAGCAGTTTTTGCGCATTGTTCATGCGCTGCGCGAAGTAGTGCTCTCAATATTTGGTTGTCTGGAGAGGAAACAATGCTTTTGCCGTTTGATACGTATACGTCTTGATAAACCAACATATAGCTCATGTAAAATACACCTATTAGGCACGTAGCCAGGGGGGTGGCCCGCCCCCCAGGCCACCCCCCTGGCTACGTGCCCCTGGTTACCCCCCCCCCCCCCCCCCCCCCCGCTCCCCCCCTCCCTCATCGACAGTCGTGAGCTCTGTAATGTCTACCCTTCCCCGATACTGCGTGCGCGTATGGAAGGTCCGGGTGGAGATCGAGAAGGAGGGAATCGTTTTCCAGACCTTGCAATCCAGACTTCAAAAAAAAAAAAAAAAAAAAAAAATGGCGTCTTGCGTGGAGTGGTTCGACACGTGTTGCCCGAGCTCGTCCGCTTTGTGTGTTTTCGTCCCACGCCCGACAAGCAACGAACAACTAGCATCACTTCAAGGGCATATGTCAAATGCACCTTGTTACGAATTCGTCGCGCTATGTCGACGGACACCGTTCGCTGACATGCCTTCTTTTAAAAGTTTGTTTGAGGAAAGCTTTATGTGCAGAAGAGGGATCAGGTCGTCAGGATAGTTAATTTTGTTTATGTTGCTTGACAGCACGATTTACATCCACCCGATCACATGTCGACGCAGAATGGATGGATTAGGAAGAGAGACACAGAGAGAGAGATTGAAGGCACTGTCCTTTGATCGCGAGGCAGAAATGAATGGGTGAATGAACACGGCCGAACCTTCTGAATTGGGTGGCGGCTTGCGCCACCTGGATTATGCTTTTGTTGCTATCTTTCAACAAATGAAATATAGCACCCTCAAACACGCTGGTAAATGGCCATGTGTCGGTGTGCATGGGCTTTTTAGCGGTGGTGGGCCGGAGTAATAGTCAACTGGCCCAACTTGAGCCTGCGGGTCGCGCTCTCACGACCGAAGTTTGTTCTGTTTTTGAACGAGCCACGCTGTTGTTTACTCGGACGTATTTCGCGCTTTAATGCCGATAAGTGACCAAATTATGGCTAAAGAAGCACGAATGAGAAGAATATGATCTGTGTTTCCTTATCACCAACCTTGTGCCTGCTGCGTGCTTAACACGTGTTTTGGGTCTTCTTAAAATTGACTGATTAAGGGGCCTTCGATAACGCTCAGTAAGTTCTTAATTGGAACAATACTTATGTTCACTAATTAGAAAGTCAATTACTAAACTTTAGTTATCCATGTAACTAATTCGTATGCTTTTTTTTTTTTTTTTTTTGCCGTGGCTGGCAGTTTGTTCCCGTAAAGACTTTCTTCGTTGCTAGGAATATTTGAGTCTTTGTTGAAACACCCGGTGTAAAGCGCTATAGGTTGGTGCTTGCCGCGTGCGGTCTTATCTCCATTGCTGCGGGGACACCAGTTCATTCATCCATCCCGATCGCCCGACAATCGTCTATACACGCCTCGGCCGATGCGTACTATATATCTTCGACCGCCGTGAGATATCTCTCGCAATCTAAACCCTGGGACACAAGAAGAAATAAAATAACGGACGAGACGACGTCTAGTCCGTAATTTGAATTTCTCCTCGTCTCGGGGTTTAGATTATATGACATCTTCCTAACCGGCTGACCCGCACGTTAAGACATCTCTCCCCGCACGCGATCTGCATGCACCTCTATCGTTGCCTTAGACCGAAAGGCGCATTATACGATAAAAGTCCGCGGGATGCGCTCGCGTCTCGACTCCGAATGTGCCTCGACGAAACACAATGGAAGGGCGTGCCCGCCCGAACAGTCGGAAGCGTACAAAATGAAACAAAGAATGCACTTGACCGTGAAGACGAGACTCTCATTGTTAACTTGCGGAGCCACCTTGACCTGCGTCGCTTCCGTGCCGGGGCCAGGTGCGATTGCACTCGCCCGAAACTCTACGCGCTCGTCTTATTAGAGTTGCCATCTGGTGGTCTTTTGCCGAAGCTCTGGGTGGAGGCTTCCTCGGCAGAGGCCATCCGGCCTTTCTGCGGCGTCGCGCGGCTGTCTTCGGCCAAATAAATACACAAATACAGATATATATACTTTCCCGCGGCACCGTGTTTGGAGAAGCTTGTAAGCCAACAGGCCAATTTCAGTGCTCTGATTGGCACAAGCTCGCAGGAGGTGTTCGCTCTGCGCGTGCGCTGGAACCAGATTCGCGCGAAGGGGAGCGTCTGCGCATACGGCCCGCGGTCAGGGCCGCGTATTGCGCATGCGCACTAATTGCACTTTTGGCGCTCGCCTTTCGCATTGTTGAAACCCACTTTTCATTTGGTACTTTTTTTTTTCATGCGCCTTATGGGAACAGTGTTTTCCTCAACGGTCCCTCGCCCAGTTGATGCACGCAGTATATTCTGCATAAGCTTCTCTCTCAAAGCAGCCTCAAGGCAGCTTGCTTTGAGGTCTACCCACTATCCCTCAATCAGAGCCAATCAGAGCTCGCTGTTCTGACGTCACCACAGCCCCTGCAAAAGTAGCAGACGAACTTTCGCTCCTCGTTACTCATTGTTCCTTTACTGTTCCAATTCCCTACCTTGAATGCATTTTCTTTCTATCCGCCACTACCTTTACTGCCTTGCTTCACTGCGAAAGCTTGCATAACCTTTTTGTTTTGTTTTTCTCTCGTGGATAGCGAGATTGATCAGGAACAGCTTCGTTTACGCAAAAATTAAAAGTAAGAAAAAAAAAAAAAAAGAGTTCGGTCGGCGTTCCTGGAAAGGAAAAGCTCTTTTGCGCGGCGATTTTCGAGGACATTGCCAGACTCGCTGGATAATTGCACGCGGTCATGTCATCATCATGGCCGCACAACAACTCTCTCCCTTCCCCCAAAAATGCCTCCGAGCCCTGTTTATCCGTCTGCTATAAAAACGGCGCCACAATTTACCTCATTGCTCGCTCGCTCGTTCGCCGTAACTTAGCAAGCGGCGCAGGCTACGGTCCCTGCGAGCCGTTCGGAGCTTCGGAGAAAGCCACGTGACTACACTTAGTTCACCTAAATAACCCACGGTAAACAAAACAAACCAAAAAGTCCGGTTCTTTGCGGACTATTACAAATTTACATCATCATGCGATATGTGCGGGTGCATTTCAGATAAGTTTTATGCTATTTCACCAGGACGTAGTCGGCGCGCAGTGCTGTCGAAGCCATGGGCGGGAGACGCGAAAGTTGCTTTTGCACGAATATTGAGTGACGGTGGAAGTTCCTCCTTTCCCTCTTCTCCATCTGCTTGAATTACGTTGTTGTTGTGGTCGTTTTGTCGGTCGGGGGAAATTTGGTAAACAGACGATTGTTCCGTGAGCTTTGGTGGTAAGCGCGATCGCGTGCTTCGCCTCCGTCGTTCTGATTGGATCGCGAGGTTGGCCGCAGCGCTCGCTCTTTGCCAAGTTGCGCTGAAACGAAGTATTTTTTTTTTATTGCTTCGC